TTATAGTTATAGAATCATGCTTGATCTTCTTTTGCTTTTGTTAAACATTCTACCAGATTATCTCTTAATATAAAGATCATTCAAGCACACACACACTCTCTTTTCACAACTCAGTCAATTCTTGTTCAAAATAGATGAAACTACATTCATTTGAAAGCTATTTCTGTACCTAACAATCTCCCAAGTTTCATGTGAATTGACTTGCTGGTTGTTGAGATATAAGTAGAAATAGATGGTGCCAGCCTCACGCCTGTCAGAAACACTTCTCACACTATTACTTAGCAACCACATGATCTTTTCATCTGAATTTTGAGAGACAGGCTCAATAACACTCTTTAAATAAACTACCAAGTTTTCTTTACTATATCTCTACTACTTGCTGTATTATTACACTCTTTTTATCTGAAAAATCTCTTACCAGACACTCTCTTATTTTGATTTTCCTTGCCAAGACTCTTGCTTACTCACATTTTGTTGAGATGTGTCAAGCTAAGCTAGAGCTCTTATTTTATCTTATCTATAAAGGTGTGTTTCAGAAGTCTTTACGCATGCTAGTAATTAGACTAGTACCAGAAATACATTGAACTCCACCAAATTAGTATGAATCAATCTGTACCTTTGATCAGGGATTTATTTCTTCTCTTGTACATCTTTCCAAGTGTTCATATCTCCAAGATGTAAAGCTGCTAAAGTCTCTGCAGCTTCTAATCTACTAGCTAAGCAATTCCTTTCTAGATTCTGCTATTTTGAGATCTTTCCCTTTAAATACTGACCTTTATACTTTCAAGAACTCTTATAACCACCCTCTTTATACTCATTCCCTCCCTCAAGCCATATAATCTCTTAAATGTGATGTGGAATTCACTTAATTCACTGTTGAATCTTCTCTTGTGAAAGCTCATTCCAGGCTTGCAGCCAAATCTCCCTTGCAGTCTTGGTTTCACATGGAGCTTCACAAGAAGTCATACATCTTTTCATCCACATCTAAGCAGGCTTAATTGCATTTAAATCTGGTGAATTCCCTGGCCAAAGCAGCTGCTTTATTCCATGTAAACTATATAACTTTCTCTGCACAAAATAAATATGTGCTGGTGCTCTATCTTCTTGCACTAGAGTCTTCAATTGATCTTTAAGGTACTTCTTTGCAAAGGGAATCAGCTTGGAATATACCAGATTTAAAGGCAAAAATCTCAGTAGATTTCTCTCAGCCAGCTCTATTCTTGTGAATCAAATCCAATATCTCAGATTCTTTACTGGAATCTATCTCTTTAGGGTGTTCTGATCACTTTGCATCTTCAACAAATGAAATATCAATTCACTGATTCTCTTGAGGCTTATAGCTGCAGTCTTTGGCTTGTTTTTCAATTGCCTGAAGGGTTCTAGCAGGAATTTCTAGAGCAGTAGAGACTTCATTAACTAGTATTTCTCAAGAGACTAAAGCTAAAGCTTGGATGTGAATAGCAATTGAATGAAACTGATTATTTTTAGGCATTAGAAATTATTTGAGATGAGATTCAAGCTGGTGATTATTTTGAAATCAGAAGGTACTCATAGGTCTGTAGTTATTTAGTTGGGGGGTATTGTACTTTTGATACAGCTATAATTACTAGCGTGCATAAAGACTTCTGAGATGCATCTCCATACTTCCATCTTATCTCTCTGCCTCTTCTCATCTGATTTTTGCTCCCCAAGCCTCATGCCAGCACTAAATCAGCTCTATTAACTTGATATTCTTGGTATAGCTGAGCCAAATTGATCTCTGCAAATTCTGACCAATCTCTACTAAATACTAGTATGTTCTATACTGTTTGGTAGCTGAGAAATCAGAATTAGTTAGTGAAAAATAACTTTTCAAATACTTATAGTAACTAAGATTTTAAACTAGAAACAAGTTATAATATACGCTATCTTGCAAATCAGAGTAGTTTTTATTAATTTTTCTGCATTTAAGAAAAAAATCAAGCTAGATTTCTAGTGACTTAACAGGTTTGCTATCTTTTCCATCTGATAAAAAATATGCTAGCTTTCTGGTGCTGCTACATCTGAAAAAACCAGCTGCCCTTCTCACTTTTCTGCTTAGAATATATTTTATTTTTATAGTATTAGCTCTGGTATCTTGAATGTGAGTCTTTACTACTAAATTTAAGAATATTCTCAGCTGGTTTCTGAAAGCTTCTCTGCAAAAAACTCTCTAGTTTGATACTTCTCTTCAAAAAGTATACTTGTTAGTATTAATCTAACTGGTTTTTAAGATATAATTACTCATATCTCTTAGATTTACTAGCTTGCTCTCTTACTCTCTACTCTTTCAATAATTTTTCTATAGTTTTTACTCTAAAAGCTGTTTCCACAATCACAGTCTTCCAAAAGAATTATATAGTTTGCTAGTTCTTCTAAAAACTAGTCCAGAATTTAATAGATGTAGTTCTGGCTAAAGAAAAATCTACTATATTAAGATTTTCAGCTCTCAGTAAAATAACTGAACTAGTTTGAGTTAACTAGCAAGTGAGATACAAAATAATCTCAGAAGATTTTCTTAAGAAAGTAATTTTAAAAGACTATCTTCTATTTTCTTATTCAAGAAGATACTTCTTAAAATATAGTTAAAATATCTTTTACTTCTGATTCTTCTTCTGAATCTGAACAGCAAGATTTAAAGTTAATTCTTAATCTTCTTACTAAGGAACCTCAGAAAAAGACTCATGTTCTTATGCAAAAAGAACTAAATACTTGTATCTTAAGTATTTAAAAAATCTTTTCTTTTCAAGAAAAAGAAGATGTTACTGTCTTTGAGAACTCTGAACTACTAAATCATAAGAAAAGAATCTCTCAGCTTGAAAATCATAAAATATTATCTACTAAAAATAACAGTAGTAATGCTTTACAAATCTGCTCTTAAGAGAAAGTATCTACTAATAATACTTTCAAATTATATTCTTCTACTCTAAAAACTAAACTAAATACTGAATCTTCAAATAAATCTTCTTTACTTTGTAAAGTAAATAGTAAAAAAAATAAGAAACAGTCTTTTAAGTTAAAACTCTTTAGAGAAAAAAGACTAGTTCTCAAGATAAATGCTTAAGTACTTGAAGAGATCAGTAATAAAGCTTTCTTCTTCAGAAATAGAATAAATGACAGTCTTACTGAAGTAAATATTACTAAAAAATCAGTTATTTCTTTAATTACTAAGTTATTTAAAGGTTAATCTCTAATTCTAATAATAACAGAAGACTTTGCAGCTGACTTTCTTCAAAAATATAAGCAGACTTGAATATCTATATTCTCAGATCTAATGAACTTTGATATAGAAAGCATGAAAATTAATAAAGATGAGCACTAAGAAGTTTTTATAGTTTATAATATCTCTACAGAAATCTTCAATATAGAGAATAAATTATCTCTTCTAAAAGAAGAAATAGAAACTTTTAACTTTATCTTTTTAAAAAAAACTCCAATCTGGCTATCTTTTACTGAAAGTAAAATACAAAAAAGACATACATCTGCTGCTTTTCATATTTAAAATACTATAATAATTGAAAATCTGAAAATAGTTATAATTGCTGGACAGACTCTTAAAGTTTATAAATACAAATAGTTAGAGAGATTTAGAAGTACTGTACAATGTTTTAACTATCAAATCTATAATTATACAGCATTAAACTGTAAAAAAGAAGTTAGATGTAGTATGTGTACTCAAAAACATCAAACAAGTATATATAAATACTCAATTTGTGAGACTACTGGAAGAAAATATATATACTCTACATTAAAATGTATTAATTGGTTAAAAAATCATGTGGCTAAATGTACAGAGTGTGTTTTCTTTAAAAAATCTAACTATTTAGCACAAAATACTAGTAAATTAATAAAACTTGTGAGAGCTGAACAGAATCATTCTATAACTAAATCTGTTTCTAAGTAATCTCATGAAACAGATTCTGAAGATGAAAATTAAATGATAATCTCAAAAAAGAAGATTGGAGTTAGACCATTATTTATTAATCTATATTAAATAAAACTTTAAATACTTCTTTAAAATTGATCTTTCTTTAAAAAATAATATTGAAAAAAATGAAAAGTTAATGCATACATATCTTAATATTGAGTTTGAAAAGCAAATTAATTATATTTTATTTCAGAAATTATGAATAAGCTCAGATAATCAGTTTAAAGTCTCTTATAATGCATACTATTGCATTCTTTCTGAGAGCAAAGATTTAAGATCTAGAATAGCTATTTTTGCTAGAAAACAGTTCAGATATTAATTCTGCTTAAGATCTGATATATGCTCTAGTAATGATCTTCTAGTTATAGATATTAAAGATAAATATAATCAGTGTAAAACCATACAACTAATAAATATTTATAATTAAAAAGATCTAGAGAACAACTTAAATCTTTAAATTATTAAGAGAAAACTAGTAAATATCTCAGCTTCTCAATGGTTTATTATTACTGGAGATATGAATGCTCATTATTTATAGTAAAATTCAAATATAGTCAATTCAGTTAGAGCTGAAAAACTAGTAGAATAGCTTGAAGAGTAGGCTGGTATTCAGGACCAGAATGGGATTCCATTTTCTATTAAAGCTCATTCCAGTCCTGAATTTAGAAACAGCCAGGGTCCTAAATATGAAATCTCAGTCCTATGTTTCATCTCACTCAAGAGCTTGAGGTTCTGTTCCCATTCCTATCTCATAAATTATTTCCTGATCTTATTCTTAAATAAAAAATTATATTCCATGTTCTATTCCAGCAGAGAAGATAGGCTCCCATTTTCCATTCTGGCCAGATCTATAGTGGAACTGGAATAGAACTGAATTTTCCAGTCTTATTATGTCAAGAGTTAAACTGGTCAAATTTTATGTAGAACCATTATCAAATTTTATTACTTTTTTAATAAAGATGGAACTCTTAGAAAAATTAATTTAATTGTAAAAGAAAAAAACAAAGTATTAAAACTAAGTAATAACTAAAGCTAGTAAATAATCAGAAACTGTCTAAATGATAAGTTTATTATCATTATTATTATTATTGTTCTTATTATTATTATCATTCTTGTTATTATTATAATTCTCTTTTTCTTTTTTTTCTTTCTCTTCTTCTTCTTCTCTTTCTTCTTTTTCTTCTTCTTCTTCTTCTTCTCCTGCTTCTCCAGAACTGGCTCTGTGAACTGGACAGAGACTCTAATACCTGCTATTTGATGGGTGGAGACCCTGTTGGTGCTGGGGAGAGGCAGAGAGACAGTAGTGGATAGTGATGGTGATGATAGGGCAGCAGCAGTAGTTGGCAGAGCAGGAGCAGAATGCAGACAGCAGATAATGATAGCAGAGACAGGAGCAGCAGAAGTAAAGTAATTAGATGCATCAATCAGATCAAAATAGTTTGATCCAGTCATGATACTGATATTAAGAATGAGCTTCATATTATTAGCATTGATCATAATATGCTTATAGTGCACTATTACTATAACAGAGCCTATATTACTCAGTATAATTATTAGTACTATTACTAATAATAACTTACACTTAAATAAAGTGTACAAGATTGCTTTAACAGTCTTCTGAAGTAACTTAATAACAGAATGTTGCCAGCAATATTCATATTCTTGATAGCAGAATAAAGTAATTTTCTGAATCAATTACTGGAACAGAGTCACCTGAAGAATTAGCTCTGTAGAGCTCTGAAAGTAACAAATCTTCTTAATAGTATCTATTTCATTAATTAGCATCAAAATCATTACCAAAAATTATTACTTTTTGACATACAAGTACTGGACTTCCAATTATAAACAGAGCAGCAGAAGTAAAAGTTCTTCTGGTTAAAGTTAATCAAGATTAATATCTTTATTAACTTTATATTAATTACTCTTCTTTAAAGTCTATCCTTTCAATATGATCTTGTGCTGCTTCTCTTCAGCTGTATAAAATAGACACACATAAGAAAAACTAACATCTTGTCAGTAAATAATATGTGCCAGAGCAGTACTCTGCAAGCACTTATTTCTTAATGCAACTCATTTTGTTATAGTACAGATTCTTGTATAAAGGTGTTGCAGAGCAGTAAATAATCAGAAAGAGGAAAAGAATTATCAACAGTAGCTCTGAAGAAAAAGAAGAAGAAGAGAAAGAGAAAGAGAAGAGAAGAGAGACTGATTTTATGTTATTATTCTGCAGCCAGTATAGCAATAATGTGTTGAGCTTGCCTATAGCAATATGCCTGTAGAATGTAAACAATATATATAGTAATTATTTTATACAAGTAGTTAGTTAATACACTCTATAATTTTATTATACAGTGTCTCTAATTTAACTCATTGCATACAATCATGAAGATGAGATCAAAATAATATTCAACAAGAAAAAAGATCTGTGTGGCATGAGAGCACTGTCAGATCTTGAAAGATCATCAAAAAGACATATTCAAGATAGAAGAGATAGATTACAAGATACACTATAATATACTAAAGAAAATTCAAGCTAAATACAAGTGGTATGCACTTTTAGTAGTTTGTATTGAATTATATTAATATTTATTGCAGGCAGAATAGCAGTGAAAAGAATTATAATAAAGTTATTGAACAGTTGATAGTCAAGTAATTTATCAAAAGCAAGTTAAAAAAGTACTATAAGCACCAGCTTATGGTATCTCAGCAAAAGAAGAGAGAACAGGAGAAGAAGTATTGCTAAAAAGAGATTACAGAAGTCAAGAATGAAGCTTAGCAGAACAAGAAGATAGAATTCAAAAGTAATAAAATTTGATAACAGTTCTGACATATTTAGATTAAAACAAGCTAGCTACAGCATTCTACTACTGTATAGAAGCAGGCCTGGTTTCAACAAATAATAGTCAAGCTTGAGATTAAGATTATGAATTATAGTCATGATTATCTTGCTGTAGTCAGTATATTAAGAGAAAGAGTTAAGAAGAAGATAAGAGAATTTCTGAATTAATTACAGAGTCTAATTGAAGACAATAATAGTCTGCCTGCTTCAGAGAAAATAAAGAAAGATAATTTTAAGATTGTAGTGTTCTCTGATGAGAACAATAGTAAGAAAAATGATAAGAGAAATAATAATTAGATTATTAATATTTAGAGAAAAAAGTTAGATTTTTAGTTCTTTTTTTATATTAATTTGAGAATAGAGTGCTATTAAATTAGTAAAATGTTTCATTTTGTAAATAATGATGATTTTGTAGTTGATTACTGTACAAAGTAGAATAGATTTAACTAGCTGGAAGTTATCAAATTTTACTTGAACTGTTACCAAATTTTATTACTTTTTTAACTAAGACAAAACTCAGAGAAAAATTAATTTAATTATGAAAAAAAAAAACTTAATTAAATAACTGAAGCTAGCAAACAAGTAAAATCTACAGAGATTTCTTCAGAATTAATTGTAGTTTAATATGGAAAAAAACAATTTATATTGTAGAAGGAGCAGTATTATAAGTTGTTTGTTACTTGATAGTTAACTACTAAAGCTGCTCAGTTAGTTAAGAATAAGAAGTATGGTAATCTTGACTGGAAAATAAAGCAATATTATTCTGATTTTTGGTCAAAATTTAATCAGATGACAGAGTATTCTAAGAGTACTTCAGAAATAATTTGTAAGTATTGTTAAATCTTTCTTAGCTATTCAAGCTTTTCTTGAAACAACACAAGTGGTCTGAAGAAGTATTTAATTAGCAAAGATTATATTAAAATCAGTGACAAACAGAGTAACACTCTGATTAACATGATAGTAGATTATGAATTTTAATTTTTTAAATACAATGAATTTTAGTAATGATTCTTGTATCTTAGTAACAGTTTTCAAAACATTTTTAAACAGATTTAGATCTGTCTGTTTCTGAATGCAATTAAGATAATTTTCTTCAGCAGCCTGTGCAAATATTAATATTCTTGAATCTTTTATTTTATACTATTGAGAGTTCAGCATTCTGTACATTAATAATCATGCTCAACTTTATAATAATATTACAGATACTTATATAAGAAATATTATATCAGATTATAAATAATATATACAATCAGCTATTCAAAGTCTTCTCTTTAACTATAACTCAATAATCAAGATATCTCTAGCACTAAATAATTGAACAAGTCTCAATAATCTTGTCTTTATAGCAATTAATGATTATTATATTATAAAGAATTGAAAGTACTGTAAGTATTTACTGAATTTTAAAAGTTTAAAAAGTACTTATACTGGCAAGAATATAATAGAGATTCTCTAATAATTATTAGCAGCATGAAGGCTTGAGAGCAATCTTCTTATAATTATAAGTAATAATATATCAAACAATAATATCATGTGAGTACATCTTATATATTAGTTAAGGCCAGCATTGCAGCAGTTAAACAAGATAACTAATTAGAATGCAGACAGTAAAATAATACTCTGTCATACTTATATAATTTAACTTGTAATTTGGGAGCTGGTTTGCAATCTCAAGATTCAGCTAGATAATAATACTCTATCTACTATATTTAATAAGAGCTTAATTACTAATAATCTATCATTAACAAACACATTTGCAAATACTCTTAGAAAGATAATAAAATTTGATAACAGTCTTGATATACTTGAGTTAATTTACTAAGTTTTGCTTAATAATAGATTTATCTTGTTGCTAATATAATTAATATTTTCTCTTAACTTGCTGCATATTTCTGAGAATATTAACAAGAGAATCAGTGCAAGATAATTCAAGATATTTACACAAGATGAAATTTTATCTATAAGATGTATATTTATATCTTGTTGCTTCAACAAGCTGTAAACTTATAAATTCAGAACTCATCACCAAAATATTAAAGACTTTACTTATTGAATTATGACTGAAAGTAGATAGAGTATATAATTGAACTATTACAGTTATTCAGTTAATTTATCAAGATACTATTCAAAACAACAGACTCAATAATTTATCTAGTATAAGCAATCTACAATTATCTTTTTCAGTATTTAAAAAGAGAGAAGAATAAGATCTAACAATTAATAATAAGAGAGAATATTAAAGAAGGTATCAAAGCTGCCAACTTGAAATTTCAGGAATATTATAATAATACTAAGTATCTAAAGAGTGAGCTGCTAGCTGTAGTTACTGCTCTTGATCTATTATACTGCATAAGAGCATATAATTCAGAGAATTGAACCAGTGATAAGTGTAAAATATACTAACAATATATTTATTATAAGTATTATTCTGATTTTCTCTCTACTAACTTCTCTAGAATATTAAGTGAATAATTTTTGAGAGATCTTATTAAAGACAAGCAAATTTCCAAAATAAAATACAGTAATATTTAAATAATAAGAATTTGACATCATTTCAAGCTTTAATTCTGAAATAGTAGATAATACTAGAGTCTGATTTTTTAACTATTGCTCAGATAGCAAGAAACATTCTGGCTGTATCTTTAACAAATATTGAGGTAGAATAGATTTTCAATATTACTTGAAATACATATTATTATTAATAATTACAGCTTCATGCATCTACAATCAAGAGAATCATGCTACTTAAACATGGAGACAAGATGTATATACTAGATAAAGCACTCCTATTACATGAGAAGTTAATCAAGAAAGTCATTTAAGATAATCAAGATGATCAAGATACTTTAGAGATTGTACAGAAAGAGATTGCAAGCCTGCTAAATTCACTACTTAATTTAGATAAGAAACAGAAAATGCATTAATATTATTAATAAATAGACTCAAGTAGCTAAAGTCTAATAGCTTGCAATATGATTCAATTATATAAAGAATATTACTAAACTTTATTACTTTTCTAAAGTTGAATAAATTAATAAAATTATATTAGAACTGTTATTAAATTTTATTATCTTTTAATAATATAAATCAAACTGAAATTTCTAGTTTCATTCTATACTTTACTGGTTGTGTCCCATATACAATATTGAAATCCTGGTTCTATTTTATTTTATCATGGCCAGGTTCCAGGCTCATTCTATTAGCTAGATTTTGATTCTGGTCTCAATTCCATTCCAATTCCAGCTTCTATGGAACCATCCCAATATGCTGTTAAACAATCTGGTCCTATTCTGTTGAGCTGAGCTTCAACCTAATCCTGTTCTTGGGATGAGAATTGGGACAGGAATCTGGGACTGGAACAGGAAATTCTGGAACCAGATACCACTCTATTGAAGAGAATAATATAAATTTAATAAATAAGATAGACAGAGAAATCTTCTTCTTTGCTAACTTAACTCAAAAGATACATGAGTAGTAGATTGATAAAGCTCTTTACTCTGATTCTGATTATGAAATTATTTAATTTAGTATTGAACTAAATACTGAAAACCTTATTGAAAATCTACTTTTTTTAAATTAATACAACTTTTAGAAAGCTAATTAAGATGAAGTA